TGCCTGCCGCCCAATCTTCGTTCTGCTCCTCCCCTCTTCTAGTCTGGCAGGCATTGTCTTCTTACGTGCGTGTGTGGTGTGTGTGTGCGTGTGTGGTGTGTGTGTGGTGTGCGTGTGTGTGTGTGTGTGTGTGATGTGTGTGGGTGTGTGTTGTCTTAGGAGCTCCGGCGTTGGAGATGGGGGTTGCTGGTGGCCATGAAGCTGTTTGAGGAGGACAAGATCGAGGAATACAACTTCGAGATGGTCTACGACCGCTTCCAGAAGTTTGCCCGCGACGAGTTCATGAGCGTCACCAAGCCCACCGCCTTTGCCGTACGTCTTATTCCCGCGCACACGACACGACATGACACGCACACGCACACGCACACGACCAACGACACACGCACTAATGCGACACTGCGCAGGCGTTCGAGAGTTTGCTGGAGCAGGAGCTGATCAAGAAGGTGGCCCGACGGGCCGAGGAGAAGGCCACGCCCAAGGGATTTCTAATGGTCCGACTCATGCCCATCCCCGCCCAGATCGAGGATGTCCTCCGCGACCCGGTTCGCCTCTCTTTCTCTCTTCCTTCGGGACCGTGTTCTTTCTTACGCCCCGTGTTGTGTCATGTCGCGCCTCAGGCGTGCATGTTGCCGCAGAGCGTGGTGACGTGGGGCACCAAGTGGGTGTCCTGAGGTTGTCAAGAATATGTATCGCTTGAGACCTCAAGGAAGGAACCAACGGAGAAGGAGTAAGCGAGTTCTCGTTTGTCTTTGCACTTAAGAGGAAGGCCTGGAAAGCCTCTTGATTTTTTTCTTCTTTTACAGCCCATTTACCCACACCAGCCAAGTGTGAAGAGACAGAGAAGAAGAAAAGTCAGGAATGGGGAACTATTGGGGTGGGAATCGCTACTACTTTGATAACATGTTCATCCCTGTGCACCCTGTGGTCATGGCCTCTGCTCTGTTGGCCTCTCAACACCAGCTGTGCCTTGATCTTGTTCACTGTTGGCTTGGCCATGCCAGTGAGGAGTGCACCATTGCTGTGATGTTCCCTCCCTCAGTGCATGTCCACTGTGTGCACCTTGACCACACCAAGCAGCTTGATACTCTTGTTGGTGAGTGGATTCTTAAAGTGGGCAGAAAGTGTGAGCCAACCCTGCCCTACACCTGGGAGTATGTGAGATTATTACCTGTTTTGCTGTCTTCTCTTTGATGCAACCCTGCTGCAGAGGTACTGAACTCTGAATTGCAGTGTCGTTCCCATCAGTGCACAACTCAACCACACATGCTGCATTGGTGGATGCACCCACTCCATCCAGATCATTGTGTCTGCATGCAGCTCCTCCACTGCCAGTAGCAAGCAGGTGGAAAGGGCTGCTGCTGCCAGTGCCAGGCATGGGTACCACCACAGTCACATGATCTGGCTGTAGTGTGCACCAACCAGTGCAATATGCCACCCCCTGGGGACGTGCTGAATGCATCTGTAGGCTCCAAGCTCAACCTCATCACCTCATCTCTTGAGATCCCAGCATCACATGAGCTGCACACCATGCTTCAGCATCACTATGTCACTGGATCACCTTCAAGGAGGTTCTTGCATCCAGCAAGAAGGAGCAGTGGCTTGCAGCCATGTGCAGTGAGATCAACACTCTCATCAACAACAACACTTCCAACCTCATTGAGCTGCCACTGGGCTGCAGGGCTGTTGGCACCTCCATTGGTTCCTTCCTCAAGGTGCTTGGTGTGTACAAGGTGTGCTGGGTTGCATGCAGTTTCTCCCAGGTGGCTGGCATTGATTTCAACAACACCTATGCACCTGTCCTCAGCTCAAGAACCTGTGCATGCTACTAGCATGCCATGATACACTCAGTGGACATAAACAATGCCTTCCTGTAAGCAGATTTACAGAAGGAGGTCTACATGATACAATCCAAGTGGTGCATATATCCCAATCAGCAGCACCATGTCTTCTGCCTGAAGAGAGCTCTGTACAGTCTCAAGCAGGTGCCTCTTGTGTGCAATTCCACACAAATCCACACATTCCTTGCCACCTTCCCCTTCCCAAGAGTTGGATGCATTTCATTCACCACTACACCATGTGCTTGGGGGTCTCATTGATCATGCCATCATCTTGGTTCCCACAGTATCTCTTACATCACCATTTCTACCACCTTTCACCCAGCTTTTCCACCTGAAGTGATCAGTGAGTACAGACAACTGCCATTCTCCTCTGTTTCCAGTGAGTGGCAACATCCTTGAAGCTCATGAAGCTTTTGTTTCAACCACCCAACCCACCTGTGAGTGTCTAAAGGGTGCAGTGCCCATGGGTGCACCTCAAGAACTCCCAACCAGATTTTTCACTTGGCATCTTACCAGTCAGGTATGGTTGGTTGGGCTGTATTCCCTCAGTATGCAACTTCAGTTGGGAGTTCACACAGGAAGACAGACACCAACTTCTGGAGCACTTGTTGCTGATGACGCTGGTGGTGGGCGGTGGGTGGTGATGGAAGGGAGATCGTGTGCGTACGCCGGACACTGCGAGGAGGACTTGCACACATGCTCGAGGAACTCCTGCGCGATCACAAGAAGCTGCTTGGCATTCTTGGCCACCTCCGCTGTCGACGCATTCCTTGGATCAATCTTTTTTGATCAAATATGTGTGCGTGTGCGGTGTGTGTGTGAGTCGTACGAGTCGGACACAGTGCCTGGAAAGTGGGGTGGTGAGCAAGGCGCACCTCGAGGGGCTTCTCGAGCGCGTTGACGGTGGTGATGAGGTTGCCGATGCAGTAGTCGATGTAGTGCGCCGCCTGCTGGTGAATGAAGGCCTTGAACAGCCGCACCGCAATGCTCTCCTCCCGGAAAAGCACCGCACTCTCCTCTGCGCGCAACAAAAAATTAGAAAACCGCTCACGCACACGCACACGCACACGCACACGCACACGCACACGCACACGCACACGCACACGCACACGCACACGCACTCAAACACGGTACCTCGAGGGCTCGCGGCGATCTGATCGATGAAAGAGGAGGTGAGGAGGTGCTGCGACTTGCCCTTGATTGTGTAGAAGCTGACGATGGCCTCGCTCAGCGGGTGCTCGTGGCCGCGCGGTGCAGCTGAGGCCATGTCGAGCTCGAGCATGGTCCGCATCAGCGGAAAGTCGTCCCAGGAGTCCTCGAGCAGGGTCTCGGTGAAGACGTGGAGCAGTCGTTCGGCTCCGGGTTGCGACACCCGAACGATGGGGGCGGCGCCGCACTCGAACGAGTGGACAGCCGGTGATGATGACGACGATGACGTGGCAGAGCCCAGGGATTGGCGGGGCGATCCCTCGGCTGACCGGGCGCCGGCGGTAATAGTTGGACCGGTGCGGCCGCGCCGAAGCCGCTCGTTGTGATGAGCTCTGTCCACGCATTTTGTAAGCGCCTGTGTGCGTATGCGTGCGATTGTAC